CATTGCGGAAGCTGGCGTGGTCCTTAGTCCCGGGTGGGGTATGGTATGTTGAGCGCCTGTGCCCAACAGTGTCACTTTCCCCTTAATTATGTATTGTTTTGTGACTTGTCCTTTTTATCTTTTTGTATGCTTGATACATTATGAGCTTATGGGCTGAGGAGCCATCATGGCAGTATGAGCATTTCTGATCTAAGTTACCACCCTTGGACTAGTCCTCTACTAACTATAATCATGTCTGAATACATGCTGCTTTACATATTCTCTTGTGACTCTCCCTGTGGCTATGTATTCTTCGCAATGACTTTATGAATGCCTTCTACTTCATGTAAGCACTTGTGGCACTTACTCTCATTGGCTTTGAGATCTGCCTGGGGAATTTGTGGCGCGCACGTCTGGGTGTACCTGAGTCATCACAAAGGTGGGGCATTGAAATCTATCTCTGATGTTTCTGGCCACCATGGACTAAACAGCTTTGATTAATCATGCCCTTCGGTTACTGACCCAGAAGACCAGGGACTGAATCCACTGAAAGCCTGAGCCATATGAAACCTTTTTTCTTTAATTTGTGAGTGGCTGGTATTATTTCCCAGCCAAAGTCCTCTGATCCAGCACAGATTCTTTCTTTACAAACACTTGAGTATTGGGAAGAACCCAATGAAAGGTCATGGAATTTTGTTCTAAGCCTGAAGTGTCTGGCCATTGCAAACACTTTCATTTCCTCAATAATTCCAGTTCTGACCCTAGAGACTAAGGAACTTTCCAAATGACTTGCGCATCCTTGGTCATTATAAATTAGATTGAATTGGTTCCCAGCCAGACATTTGCATGCATATTTTCTTTGTATATTTAGCTTAACTTATGTGTTGCACTCATAAACTATAGACAAAAATGATTGGCCCTGGCTCACGTGTTGCAAGGGGTAAATAAAAAGACTTATTGAGATTTTGTTTAAAGTATCCCAGTACTGGATGGGGACATAGCTCAATGATGGGGCCCGTGAGGTCCTGGATTCAAACTCCAGTATTGAAAGAAGAAACCCACAAGTAGGCAAAAGAAGCAACCTAGTTTATTAGCACCTGTGTTACTGTGATCCCCTGAGGCACATGCTCACACATGGCCTCTCACTTACACCTCCTCTTCACAGCTTTACAGAGAACATTTTGAAAACCTGGAACATAAACTCTAAGGGTGAGGTGATTCTCTGAGAATTGGGCCCTTGTCATGTGTGACTGTGAGGTTCCTCACTGCCCCCCATCACTTGCCCACCATCAGGATAAGGCAGGCTGCTGGTTCACAGACTAGACCACCTTGTGTAATGAAGTCAGCTTCTTCTGGTTCATTTTAAACTGTGGGCTTGATTGGACTAAGAGACTCTGGGCTAGTGTGGTGGTATATGCTAACTCAAGAGGATTACTAAAAGTTTGAGGCTGGCTTGAACTACATAGGAGATTCGGTCTTTAAGAAAGAAACAGTTTTGTTATGTCACATTTGGTTTTACTCTCTTCCAAAAAAAGTAATAAGAACTGTGGGAGTAATAAAATCCAAAATGTGTAATAGTCATTGTACAAAAGAGAGGAAAAGAAAGTGCTCTAAATCATATAACTGCATGTATATTTAAGTGTATAAAATAGACACTGATATTACTGAGTTTTGTTGGATCATTGAACAGAACTGTTTGCAGTCTCACTGTTTGAATGTCCACTTTATATGCTTTAATTTTGTAACTTGAACAAATATTTCTAAGATGACAATCTGTAATCCATTAACTAGTGATTTCCTACTGTTTATTTTTTTTCTGAAATTCTGTATAACTTGTACCCTTTTTCTGCTTTTTTTTTCTTTTTCTCCTTAAATAAAATTAAAAAAAAAAAGAAACAGAGAGAGAAAGAAGGAGCCTGGATTTGGGGGAGACATGTTGGATCATTTTGCTCTACCACACCCTTCTGTCGTGTTCTTGCCTTGGAGATGCCTAACCACAGACTGAAATCCCTAAAACTATGAGCCCAAACAAACTCCATCTTTAATGTATTTTCACCAAGTGTTTTGTCTCAGCAGTGAGAAAGCTGTCCATTACACCCATTACACATCTTTTAAAACTCTCGACTGTTACTTTGTCTCAGAAATTCTTCCATATATTACACATTTGTCACAAATACCCTTAAAATAGTTATCCATGATGAATAAAACCTTCTAAAATTTGAACAAGTATTTTTGTTTGTCTGCTTTGTTGTTTTTGTTGTTTTTCAGGTCTCGATTCACTGTCTAAATATAATGCTTGAGTCCATCATTTGTCAAAAATTAAATATCTGTTAGGTGCTGGAGAGTTAGACCGAGGCGAAGCAGCCCAACTCCATCAAGAAGACGTGGCTGAACAGGAGGCAGAGCCAGAGGAGCTAAAAAGACAAACAGAGAAGCAGAAGATGCAGCTAGAGGAACAGGAAAACACTCCTGTTCAGCAGAGTTTTGCCATCAGGGTCTCCACGGCACACTTTGTTTCAGATACATTGATGTTACCACCTCCTACGTCATTGTCCAACGCGGAGCTGTTCCCACAGGAGCAGAGGACCTGGCCAGACTCAGGGAGTCCCCAGAACAAGCAAAAATTTAGACTAGAGGCAGAGTAGATCCTGGCAGGCCTGGTACCTCCTGGGGATCGTGGTCCCAGCAGGCAGAGCACAGGGTGCAGAGGGAGCTCCGCCCAGGAGCGAGCTTCCCTCTGGAACACTGCGGGACAGTTGGCTGTGCCAGCCTGTGGTTCAGAGTATTCAGTCCTTGTTCCTTGAGCAGCAGGTGAGAAGGCTGCACTGATGTCAAAGCAGATTGATCAGAAGCAGAAGGACCCCCAATCTGTGTCCTACAGGCCCTGGAAAATGTTGATACTTGACAGTTAGATACATCAGAGCCAGAACTATCTGGAAAGTAGAGATGCGAACACTCCGCAAAATCATGTGCAGAATTTTAATCTTTCCCTGCAAGAGAGCCTTTCTCAGTCCTGGTATTTCCTTCTCTGGAAAATTCTCTAGGCTGAACCCTGGAACTGATTGGTGGGCTGTCAAGAGTGATAGCCCAGCTGCTGCCACGGAAGGTGACAGAGTCACAGTCCAAGTCTGGCCAGGGCCCTGTCCTCTTTCACCCGGCTGAGCACAAGGGAGGGCTTCTCAGGTTCAGTGTGCAGGGCAACATGAACACCTACTTGGTACTGTCAGCGGGACAGAGGGCCAGCTACTGGGGGACCTTAGCAGGAACTGGAGTCGGGACAGAGTGGGAGAGAAGCCGACCAAGGGCAAGAGACAGAGAGAAGGGCTGCAGCTGAGGGTGGGGGAGAGGCGGAGGACAAGAGCCCAGGCAGAGCAGGCCTCGCTGGGGGACCAGCCAGGCCTGAAACACAGATCAAGACTCCAACAGGAGTCAGGTCCCACAGCAGACAGCATGACTGAGGAGGCTGGGACAGGGACCCAGACCAGGAAACCAAGGCTCTGACTGCAAGGACCACAGCCAGGACCACCAAGACCTCTGATGTGGCACCACCCTGCTCACGCCTAGCACTCAAAGTGCCCAGGGGCGGCACTAACAAGAGAGCCAGCCGTTAGCTAGATATGAGCACAAACTGGGAGACTGGATCTGGACCCAGGGAGGAAACTGTCAAAAGACAGTGACCTGAGTTCTCCCTTCCTAATTCCCAGTCTACCTATTGTCACAATCATACCTTGGTGTGCCCAGATTCCATCTGACCTATGTTGCCCCTGTCTGATATAATCACCCCATTTACATATGTTTATAGCGCAGCTTTGAACGCCACCCGCTTGGGCTTCAGCCAGCAGGCTTCTTTGGAGGAGGACTGTGTAATTTCAAAAACACCACCATCTGCCACCCTCACGGTTGGTTAGAAGCTACACCAGCCACAGACCTAGACTGCTCTGTAACTCTAGTAAAGCACACACACATTAACACTCTGGGCACCGCCACCTCTGCCTCTGCCCCTGAATCTTTCCCTAGCCTGCTACCCTTTCTGCTTTGCTCATTATCCAGGGAGTGCTTGCTAAATCCTCTACTTCTGATTCTTCTTCCCTTGCAGGTTTTCTTGGGGAGGATCCAAGAGCGAGAAATATCGTACAACTGATATCATTCAGCCCCTGAGGATGGTCTCAAACTCCAGTAACAACGTTGGTTTGATTTATTTGAAAACAGTTCTTGCTGGCCAGTGTCCTTGAGAAAAACTCTGGCGGGCATGGTTTCTTCTGTTTCACTGTGGAGCTGGGAACTGAATCCAGCACCTTCACGCTGAGCTACTTCAAGAGCCCTTTTGTTTTCTATTTTGAGGCAAGGGTGTCGCTAAGACTCCTAGAATGGGCTTGTACTTCCAATCCTCCTGCCTCAGGAGGAGTAGTGTCACTACAGTCACTGTTTCTGTATTCCAGCGACTTTATATTGATTTATCTCTTCTAAGTGAGTGTGCACCCTGGTCTTTCACAACCACAATTTGCCATTTAACTAGTTCTATTGTTTTGAGAACAAACTGCCTCATCGTGTATGGTGGGAATCCCCAGAAGTCTCCTGGAGTGCTGGGATGGTAGGCATGCACACAGACTTCACACTGGAAGGTCATTTTAAAAAGTGAAGTTAATAAAACATCCCTATCAAAGAAGAGACTTAGAAATAACTAGAATACCTTTATAGAATATTCTAGGGTTCAAAGACTACCATAAATTTGGATATCCCGGTTTCTTATGAAATTTCACATTTGTGCTTTCCGCGGTTGGGGCGTGGCCACCCCCAAACAGGGCGGGGCCATTCTGCATCTGGGCGGGGTCTCTCAGAGGTGCGATCAATGGGCGTGTCCTAAACCAGAGGGCGTGGCCGCAATCCCGCCCTGTAGGCCGAAAGCCTTCAGGAAGCCTGAGCGCCAGGTGCTGCCGGTTGGGGCGGGTCCGCGTGGAGCACGGAGGGGCGTGGCCGCCAGCATTGGCGTTGGCGACTGTGGGCCGCGCAGGCGCGCTGGGCGGCGCGCGGCCGTTTGAGTGAGCGGATCGCGGCCGTGCCCCTCAGGTCCCTGGTGCGCGTCGCTCGGCGTCGTCGCCCGGGGGTCGCCCGCGCATTTCCTCAGCGCGGACGGCGGGAACGCGGCGCGGGGCGAGCCCGTCGAGCCTGGCGGGGCCGCGATGGAGGAGGCGGCGCTCGGCCCGCGCTCCCGGGACAGCTGGCTGAGGGCACGCGTGTGACTCGGTTCCCTGTAACTTCTGGCCCACAGCGGGGCCGCCGGGGGAAGGCCGCGGGCCCTGAGGAGGGCCGAGGGCTGAGGGCCGAGGGCCGAAGGCGGAGGGTGGAGGGCGGAGGGCCGAGGGCCGAAGGCGGAGGGCGGAGCGCAGAGGGATGAGCGCGGAGGGCTGAGGGCTGAGGGCTGTGGGCTGTCCCGGCGCTTCGCGCTTTTCTGTGCCTCGCGGGTCGGGTCCACGTGGAGGAGGGCGCGAGTCTCCTCATAGTGGCGCACCTCCCGTGCTCCCGAGTGGCCCGGTTGAGTTAGAAGATGGCCCCTGTCCTGCGCAGGGTTGTTTGCTCCCAACTTTGCTTTGTTGTTGACGTAATCGCAGCACCGTTGTTTCACCGTGGCAGCCCACCCTTCCCTCTTTGGCTAAGGTGAATTTGTATATTCTGGCAATCTTGTCGTTTGTCGTTTTCTTCTGAAACCATTTGCAGATTCACTACTGATGAGTCATTCGGGTTTCGTTTTTTTGTCTTTTTGGTACCAGGGATCAAACTCAAGGCCTGGTGCTTGCCAGGCAGGCGCTTATGTCACTGAGCTAAGTCCCCGGCCCAGGTTTTTTGTTTTTCTTAGGGTTTTTTTTTTTTTTTAAATCCCTTTTGTTTTCTTTTTGTTTGGTGAGAGAGATCAAACCCATACGGACCCTGGCCCTATTTACTTTATGCATGTTAGAAAACGACTATTTTCAGAAAATGTTTTTTTGGGGTGAAGAAGTATGAGGTGATTCTTTTCCTGTCAGCACATTTCAGATGTTACTTGGCTGTGACTCCCATTGTGTCTGACATGTCTGCAGTTAGCCTTAGTCCCTTTGTTGGTGAGGCCTCTTTTCTTTGGCTATTTTAAGATTTTTCAGTGATTTGATTGAGATTTGATATGGATTTATTATTTCTTGTGTTTGCATTTGCTAAACTCTTAGAGGTGAAGTTTGTACTGTTACCAAACGTCATTATTTAGAATGTTTTTCCTGACCCCTCTGGTGTCAGATCTCCCAGCCACTCTGTTGAGAGTAGTCCTGCAAGCTGCTGTGGTGTTAATACACCTGGGTGCCGTGGGCTGATAAGCCGGATGGTCACTTGAGCCCATCAGTTGGGAACTAGCCTAGGCAAAGTAGTAAAACCCCATTGTCCAGTGGCACAGATGCGTGGTTTATTCTCTTGGCTCAGTTATATTTCATATGACTTATACTGCTATGTCCTTGGCACCTTATATCCATGCTCTTTTGTTTGGTTTTGTTTTCTTGTTTCCTTGCCTGATGTTTTATGGGAGCAATGCATTATTTTAATGTACATGTATAATTTTAAGTTTTCCTATGGGTCACACCATGCCCCATTGTTGAATCTCTGCATTGCATTGATTTGTTTGTTGCTATCACACAACACTTGCATGGCCAGGATTATCTTGTAATCATTAACAATGAATGTAGGGCTCAGGAGCCGAGGGGCTAGGCTGAGATTTTGTGTTTCCGTTACCATCACTGGATAATTCAGCTTGCACAGCTCTGCCAACCATCTGTTACTGGCTTGACATGCATCAGGTTCTCCTCTGATTATTTGCAGGATTTCTTACTGCTACCTACCTTCACTCCTGTGCTTTTAGGATGCAGTGGTTATCGTTTCAGTTAGAGATGATTCTTTTGGGGATATACTACCCGCAGTGATCCTTCACACAGATCATAGGGAACTCAGCATGAAATTAAAACTGTGTCACTACAGTCACTGTTTCTGTATTCCAGTGACTTCATATTAATTTATCTCTTCTAAGAGAGTGTGCACCCTGGTCTTTCACAACCACAATTTGCCATTTAAACAGTTCTATTGTTTTGAGAACAAATTGCATCACTGTGTCAGGTGGGAATCCCCAGAAGCTGATTCCTCCCCGCATCCAGTATCCTGGAAAGCAGACATGCTTGTGGCCAGTGTTGGAATGATCCAGATCCTTGCTGACTTTCCCACCTGTAGGACATAGTGTCTGGCATTTTTCCCATGTGCATAGGAACAAGCATATGTTGACAGAAAGGGAGATTTGGGAATTCACGTTTTCCAAGTTAGCACACCAACTCATTGCAGCTGATTTTCCTCTAAAATTTTAGGCTCCCATAACTACTATGACATTCTGCTACTCTGAATAAAATTATCCCTTAAAGGCTCATGTGTTCTGAGAGAGGACATTTGGAGGGTGGTTGGGTCATGAAGATGCCGAGTAGATCAATGGGTCTCATTAATGGTTAGAATTTATTTTGTAAGAAGAATCCTGGGAGGGTCTGTGCATGTTATGGTCTGTGTTGCTGTCATATTCACAGTCCTCCTCCTCAAAGATTTTATTGATGTCAAGCTTTATCATTAGTAGTTTTAAAATCTTCACTTTTAGATGTTGATATGCCATGATCTGATGGCAGCATTGGGAGGTGATGTAAACAGGAGGTGGGTCCTAAGTGAAAAGGGTGCTTCATGGAGCCTGACTGTGGGGATGACATCAGGTTCTCTGGTCCCTGGGGTCAAGGGGCACTGAACTTAGATTTTATATCTGTTTCCCAGCCCCTTCCTTACCCTCTGACTGTTTCTCTCTTTTTATGTTTCCTGTCTGCCGTGAGATAAACTACTTCCCTGTGCCACGCCACCTCAGCTATGAAGCTTGCCCTCGCCACCACCCAGAAACAACAGAGCCAGTGACCATGGACTGAAACCTCTGAATCTGTGAGCCTAAGTACATCTTTTGTCTTTTATGTTAATATGCTCATGTGTCTTATCACAGTGATCACATCCTACAACACTATCCAAGAGGATGAGCTAAAAAACAAGCTACACAGTGACCTAGAGCATGCACACCTGTTCCTATGATGACTTCACCTGTTCACTCAATGTTTTTGAATCCTGCTGGTATTTCCTTTTTATATGTAGTTTTGTGGGTGCCTGTTTTTATATAACAGGGTTTTAGTATACTGTTTTCATACATGTGTATAACCTGTTTAGATTATATCCATCTTCCCTATTGCCTTATCCTTTCTTTCCTCCCCTTGTCCATTCTTCTTGCATCATAGTCTCCCTTATTTTCTGCCATTTATTTATGGTTATAGGTGTTAGGTAAAAACATGGAGTACTTTTCTTAGGATAGTTTATGTCACTTGATATGTTGACCTACAGTGTCACTAATTTTCCTAAAGTGATATAATTTTTTAACTTATTTCCAAGTACTACTTATACGTACAGTACACGTTATCCTTTCATCCATTCATGGGCACCTATGGCTCTTGTGAATTTTGTCACCATAAACATGACGCTGCAGTTATCCTTATATGGTTACAGTAAAAATCAATACAGGAATTCCTATGTCAGTGATGGCGAAACTTTTAGTCCTTTCAGTGATACAAATAGCTTGCTGCAGCACGCATGCTGTAGGTTCACTACCCCTGCCCTGTATAATCACTGCAGAGGTACACAGTGCAGTGACTGATTTAATTTCTGTGGTTATGTACTAGAGACTCTTAGAGTTGGCTCATATGGTAGTTGCATTTTTAGTTTGTTTTGTTTTTGATTTTGGAACGGAATCCACAACCTCACACTTGCCAGGCAGGTGCTTATGTCTCTGAGCTAAATCTCCAGCCCCGATTTTTAGTTTTTTGAGAAACTTTTTACTGATTTTCATAGTGACTACACTAATATTCCCTCAGCAGTGTAGGCAAATATATTTCATATATTGTTAACAAGATTTATCCTAAGTAGGGTGAGATTGAATCTCAATGTATGTTTGTATTTCCCTACTGGCTAAAAGTCTTAAATATTTTTTCTTATATGTACTGGCCATTTGTAATTTTTTGAGAAGTGTCTCCTCCATTCATTTGCCTATTCATTGACTGAGCCTTTTGGAGTTGTGTTGTAAACATATTTAAGTAATTGTAGATATTAATGCTGTATTGGAAGAGTAGCTGGAGAAAGTTTTCTGGCAATTCCTAGGCTGTGTCTTCGTTCTCTTTTCCTTTCTTGTGCAGAAATTTTTAATTTGATGTTGTCCCATTTGCCGACTTATACTTTCCTGAGTGTTGGAATCACATTCAGAAAATCATTCCCTGTGCCTTTGTTTCTTTTGTGTGTTTTTTTCTAGTTCTTCCAGAGTTCCAGTTCTTATATCCAGACATTTGGTCCATTATGAATTTGTTTTTGTACAAGGCAAGAGATAGGGATCTAGTTTTAATTTTTAAATACAGATGTTCTGTTTACCAATACCTCTTCTTAAAGAAGCTATTTTTTTCTGCAATATGTATGTTTGGCCCGATTGTCAGGAATCTGATTGCTTTCATTGTGTGTGTTTGTTTTTGTTTCCTCTCCTCTCTTACCCTGGACCAGAAGAGACTTTTTTTTGCCAGTGTCGTTCTGCGTTTGTTATTATGCTTGGTGGTGTAATTTGAAATCAGATGTCCTGATGCCTCCATCCTTGTTCTTTCAGCATAGGATAGTTTTGACTGTTCTAAATGTTTTGTTTTCCCAAAGGAAGTTTAGGTTTCTTTTCTAGTTCTGTGAAGAATATTATTTGAATTTTGGTGAGGATTGTAATGAATCTGTACCTGACCTTTGGTCATTGGGTCAACTAACCGTAGTAGTTCTGCTGATGCATGAACATGGTGGGGATCTTTCCCTCTTCTGGTGTCTACTCCACTATCTTCCTTTAGTGCTGTTGCATTTTCATTGTAGATGTCTTTGACTTCTTTGGTTAGGTTGGTACCTTATTTTATTTCATTTTTAGCTACTGTTGTGAATCTTCCTTTAGTGCTGTTGCATTTTCATTGTAGATGTCTTTGACTTCTTTGGTTAGGTTGGTACCTTATTTTATTTCATTTTTAGCTACTGTTGTGAATGGTATTGTTTTCCTGGTTTCTTTCTCAGCTAATTCACTGTTGGTGCCTACCAAAGCTGTTGGTTTCTTAGTGTTAGTTTTGTGATCTGCTATTTTCCTGAGTTTATCAGCTTACAAAGTTCTTTCATTGATTCTTTAGAATCTTTTAAATATAAGATCACACCATCTGCAGATGAGGATAATTGACCTTTTTCCTTTCCTATTTGTATCCATTTTATTCCTTTCTCATATCTAATTTTCTGCCTAAAAATTCAAGTACCTTATTCAGTGAGAGTGGTTGAGAATATATATATATAGTTAAGTGTATATATAAACTATATACATAAACTATATATATACACTATATATATAAATTATTTATATATATATAGTTAAATATATATAAACTATATATGTACACTATATATATAAATTATATATATATAAACTATATATATATATTGTACCAGGGATTGAACTCAGGACCTTGTGCATGCCAGGGAGGCGCTTATACCACTCAGCTGTATCCCCAGCCCAAGAATAGATATTCTTTCCTCATTCCTGGTTTTGGAGGCAATGCTCTAGTGTTTTCCCATCCAGTATGATGTTGTCCATAGGTTTCTTGTATATAGTCTTTATTATATATGGTATGATCCTTCAACACCTAGTTTCTTTGGGGCTTTTGTCATGAGGCTATTTAAAATTTGTTGATTATTTCTGGATGTATTCAGATAATCAAGTGATTTATCTTTGATTCTGTTATGTAGTGCATAACATTTATTCATTGGTACAAATTGAACCATTTTACATCCATGGGATGAAAACAGCATGATCATAGTGTTATAGGCAGCTAAGTTAGATAAACATGTTATAGGCAATCAGATAGGGTTAGGTCCTTGAAGGAGTCAGTGCAAAAGGCCAGATACCTTGCAGCTATGGAGGGAACAGACATCTCCTGCTGTACGCCAGACCTCAGGACAAAAGATAAAACAAATGTAACTACATAATTCCTAAGGATAAACATCAGGAATATTCTAAACAGGTATCAGTTACCTTGAGGAAGCCAGGAAGAGCCACTAACCCAGCAACCTATAGGAAAAGGCCCTCTTCTGTATCACGCCTGCTTGCTAGGTGAGTCGGCTCCCCATCTGATCCCTATTTGATCAGTTTTACCTGAGCAGTTGTACTCGTGATCTTACTGACCATAGTTTGGTCCCACCTCATGCCCATGCCCACCTTGTGATTTGCCATTTTTCTCCACCTTGGACCTGCTTCACCTTATGGTTTTGCTCTGTAAAATCCCTAGAAAAGGCAGGGTCTTTGTCAACCCTCTTGGGATCTCTTCTGTCTGTCTGTCTGTCTGTCTGTCTCTCTCTCTCCCGGACAGAAGCTTTCTTTCTTCAATAAAGCTCTCTCTCTCCGACAGAAGCTTTTTTTTAAACCTCTGTTGTTCCTAAAAGTCTTTTTCTGATTTTAGAGAACATGACTTGTAGTGGACATCTAGCATGTTGGGAGTTTCTTTCCCCTATGTTATCAGTGTGTAATCTGTTTAATAGGTGGTTGAGTTTGCAATTATTTTATTAAGGATTTCTACTGCTATTTTAATGAAGATATTGGTGAATAGTTTTCTTTTTTCTTATGTCTTTGTCCAGTTTTGGTATCAGAGTGTCATTGACCTAATAGAATTGGTTTGGAAGTATCCTTCCCTTTCTATTTCATGGAATCATTTAGATACAGGGATGGTGTCATAGCCTCCAAATATGATATAAGGGAAATATTATAACTTTCAACTTGTTAGATATCTGATATGCTGAGTTATCTAAAATAAAATAATAATTTCAGGACAAAGAAGGTTAAGAGTAGGAAACATTTATGGAGAGAAAGCTCCTGCTGAAGGGACAGGAGGGGGAGACCCCTGGAAAGTGGGTTGCCCAAGGACCCCACTTCTCAGGGAAAGTTTTATAGAGCACAATCATGTGGGAGCTATGTAAGTTATAGCTGTGATCAACTAGTAAGATTATAAGTATAGCTGCTTAGGTAATATTGATCCAAGGGGGAAGCAAGTCATGTAGCTAGCAAGCATAGAAAGAATGAAGATCTCAGGTAGGTGATTGATCTGGGAGTCTTGGTTGTCTGCTGAGGTGACTGATGCCTAGCTAGTTTTTATTAGACCAGGTGTTACCACTTATCTCTTGGGGAGTATGGAGGCCTACTCCTTTTGTTGTTATCTTGAGGCCTGGCCTCCCACTGATGTGTCTCTGGCCACAGTTGTGTGTTTTCACATTTTGTCCTGGCTCTCTTGAGGACCTAGGTCTATCTGACTGCCTATAATATTTTACCTAACTTAGCTGTCTATAACAGTCCCTGCTCTGAAGAGGTATCCTGAATTGCCTTATTGATGACTGTTCTGGCTACTTAAGACTAAAGGGGGTTGTAGTTGTGACTGGCAGTCAGGGACACTCTTCAGAGGGCCTTTGATAAGGCCTTTGATAAATGGCAGGTGTTTTTTTCTTGGGTAGATGTATAGCTTTAAGTCTGGAGGAGATAAGGCCAAAGAAACAGTTAAGTGTGCTTGGGTCAAACAATAAAATCAACAAGGCTATTATGAATATAAGCAAAAATATTTTTTTCCAGGAAGAACCAGTAATAGCTTCACACAAAGAGAATAGGGAGAAAGCCTAGGGAATTTCAGAACCCAATATGGCATTAACCTATCTAATATTTTGAACAACCATTAAGATATTAGGAAAAGTGTCAGGAATGTACACACAACATTTCACTTTTATAATTGTACAAGTACTCCCTTGTGCTGCTGTCAGGATGTCTAAGGCTGTCCAGTTTTGGAGGACAGCTTTGTCTCATTAAT